GGGGGGGGTGTCTAACAGACAGGTGTCAGAATGGGTGTCAAGACTGTCTTCTCCAACCATTTACCTGAAAAAATGGTGATGGTACTGTGTTCCCAGTTACTGCTGCTTCTGCATTGGTTGTTCCTTTTGTAGCAGTGGTAGAGAAGTTGAGAATAAAAATAAGACCGGGTAGCGGTTTGCTTTGCAGAAGGAATGCTCACCTGTTTATGGTGATTTGTTTTGATTTTGAAACAGCAATGGTGAAGGTGTCTTTGTCATACAAATAGAAACTGCTTCTTAGTGGGGTTTTAGTGTGTGCTTGACTGACACGTATCTGCTTATCATACTAGCTAAAGTAATAAGCATTCTTTTGGTTTGTTTCCCTTAATCCAGCTTCGTGTCTGGAAAAAATAAAGCAAACTTATGCTACATTTGGGTTGTTCCCTGTAAAGGAATTATACGTACTCATCTATAGCTTCCCCATTTAAAAGCAGTTAGTGTTGTAGACAGCTTATTTTTTATGGAGTTGCAGCTCTGTGCAGGAGGAATTTGCTTATATTGAGGGTTGTATGTACAGGTTAGATGGGCAACATGAATTAATTTGCAGTGAGGATTAGTAGATAAGGATAAAAGGAGTCATTTAGATGCTGCCTTTCTGTTAGGAAATACAGACCAATTTTTTTCTTCAGGTATCAGTAGCAAGGAAAAAGAGGCAAACCTGTTTTTCATATGAAGGAAAAATATGCTATAATAAGGACTTCTCATTTAAAAAAAGATTTTTAAATCCCACTTTTCTATCCTTCGTGTGGGGAATATTTACTGTAATTGAAGCTCCAGAAGCTTTCTTACCCTGTGTGCTCTGCTCTGCTTTTATCAGTATTGTGTGGATAGTTTTACAGATTTGGGTCCTGTTCCATTCATTAGTGGAAAGAGAAGACATTAAAATAGTACGAGGGTGCTATAACCACAAATAGACTTGTGGTGTCAGAAAGGAGTAATAGCAGATGTGCAGCGATTCTAGTGTGATTGGAGTTAGCTGTCTTTCCTACTTTCAGATTTTCTGAGTGTACTAAGATCAAGTTCTTGGAATGCTCTACTGACACTGGTACCCTGAAATAGATTTCAAGAGAGACATCAGTTCTGGAAATCTGATCATAGTGGAAGTGAAAGCTTGAGAAATTAAAAGTTCAAATAAAAAGTGTTTGGGGGTTTTCCTGTATTTTGGGTTGGTTTGGATTGTGTTTTGGAAACATTTCTAACTCTGGAGTCAGCTGGTTTTGAATTGCCTCTGTTGAGAGCTTCTTGAAATTATTTACTGTAATTTTTTATCTAATACAGGTATATGCCAATTGTCTTAACAGTTAATCGTGAGTGTTCATACCAGTGCTCGTTTTCTGTTCAATAGGATGATGCCGATGGGTGGAATGATGCCTCCTGGGCCAGGAATACCACCTCTTATGCCTGGTATGCCACCAGGTAGGTCAGGGTTATCGAACTCAGACTATGGAGAGAGCTGAATTATGTTCACGCATTTCCACTGAGATTTAGGATTTATGCAAAGAATGTAAAGGCTTATGCCACCACCTCGGTGTGGTTTGCACAGGTGAAGGGGTTGATTTATGGCTTTTGATTATAAATACTTGTGTTTGCTACTATTGTGAAAGTAAAAAATAGAATATAGTTTTCTCTTAGTGCCCTATCTCTGGCTTTTGTGATGCCTGGTCTCTCTGTATCACTTTTTTAAAAGTCTCTGGCTGCAGCTGGAAAATTGTAATGATTGAAAATGTTGTGGAAAATGAGAAATAATGTTGGTGATATACCCAATTAATGAGCCTGCTGTGTGAAGAAAGTAGCTGGAATTTTGGTCTTTTACTATAGCTAGAAGAGGTGTTTCTCAAGCTCGTGCAGCTTTTAAGAAGCTTTTAAGCAGCCTTAAGTTCTTAGGGTGTTCCACCTGACCAGCAGCTATGCTGTGGTGGCTTGAGATACGCTGGTCTGCTCATATTTCTCACTGGAGGAGGAGGCAAGCCACTAGGACGGTTACAGCCTAATTATCCTGCACAATAATATGATGGAACACATGTGAGCTATGAACTTCCAATTTCTGAACCTATCCTAGAGGCCTGCGAGTGTGAACTGCCCGTGTTGTGATGACTAAAAAAAGTAGCTTGTGTCACTGTTCTGCTGTGCTAAAGACCCACAGCAAGGCTGATCTGTGTTTGGTCACAGTTCTGATACTGTTGGTAATGGCTGCATCTTTTGGATTTTGTAACAGTCATATCCATGCGCTTGGCAGCACAAGGCCAGTGTGTTGGAAACAGTTACTGCGTTAATTGCATTGGTTCATTGAGAACATAAACTTCATAACTGAAGCTTCAGTAGAAACACGAGTGAATTCAGTATTGCTCTGGAGTGTTTGAAGTTACTTCATGGACACCTGTTGGTGACTGCTGACATTACCCTTTGTCATGTTTTATTTTACTGTTGCCTTAAAAATACACCTTGGGGGAGACTTTGTTCTAAGGAACACTGTGAACAGAATCCGCTAAAGCAATATTCGTACTTCCTTCAGCCTGATTTGTGACCAATTCTTCACGGTTTGTAGGCATGCCACCGCCTGTTGGCCCTCGTCCTGGGATGCCTCCAATGACACAAGCGCAGCCTGTTACAGCACCGGGCATTCTTAACAGACCTCCAGCTCCTGCTGCCTCAGCACCTGCTCCCCAGCCTCCAGTTACTAAACCACTCTTCCCGAGTGCGGGGCAGGTAAGGGATCTCGTAGCCTGGAATCTGTCATTATGATCTTCAAATTGCCACTGTGTCAACATGTCTATTCCTTATTATTGAGGAGGCCCAAGAAATGGCTAGTTACGTTTCCGGCTTGTGTCGATTCTTAAGTTTAATTCATGTAGTGCTCGCATGAATTTTAAGAGATTCTTTTGTTTGTCTTGTAACAGCCATGAAACCAGACAGAAGTTCTGTAAGCACGTGGGGAAGAAAGGAGTAGGCAAAACACTTTTTCTTTGATGCCTTTAGTTTGTCGTTCATAAGGGTGCTTTGGATGGGGGAAGGGATGGGTTAATCAGCCACAGGAATGTGATTGCATAGAACTTTACCTAGAATTTCTGAAGTACAAAACTTGACATGACTTGTTCCCTCCTGTTCTTTTCATAATGGGCTCACTACTGATAGGTGGACTCACTTATTCTGTAGTCCTGTTAAACTGGTTAAACATTGCCTGAATTAGGAGGTGTTTTGCTTTTTGAAATGTTTAGGAGTAAGTTAGGGTAGTAAAAATTAATTTAAGTGTTTTGGGGAGGGAAGTGGGGAATTGATAGTGGCTTGTGACCTCTATCCTTTGATTGCACTTGTATGTAAGTCCTGAAGTTTTTACTTGCTTTCAAATATGTTGCAGAAACCTTTATAGTGTACTGTTTGCATTTTGGACTTCTGCAGGGGAGATACTTGTTTACAAAAACATAGTCCTTTCATAAGAAAGGGCTTAGCGTAAGAAATCCTTTCATCTGGATACTTTCCACCCATTTGTTTGGAGACTTTTCACTGTTTCCTTTCTTTTATGCTACAGATGGGGACACCTGTCACAAGCTCAAGTGCAGCTTCCTCCAATTCAGAAAGTCTGTCAGCATCTTCTAACGCTCTGTTTCCTAGCACAGCACAAGTACGCAGGAAGTCACAGTTAAAACCAAATTGCTTTGCAACTTAACCCTTTGGACCATTCTGTAAAATCTAG